CCGATCTCCAGGGCGCGAACCTTGTCCAGGTGGAGGCCAGGCGGTCGTTAAGGTTCTGCATGGTCACCTTCTCGTTGCCCGCCAGCAGCCCGTCGGAGCCGGCCAGGGCGCCCGCATAGCCCGCGCCGTAGCCCCCGGAGGAGGACGAGGACACGAAGCGGGCGGAGGACACCGACACGCCGCGGCCTCCCGAGCCCCCATGGATGCTGGGAGCTCGGAAAGTGCCTCCCGCCCCGAAGCGCACGGAGCCACCGCCCAGACCCCCGAAGGACGAGGTGGCCGACGACTGGCGATAGCTGTAGGAAGTCATGGCGAAGCAGGACGTGGACGACACTGGCCGGAGTTGCTGCGGTCGGCAGGAGGAGTGGCGAGGCCCTCACCTGGTGCCTTTTATGCCCTGGGCGGGCGGGAGAGGGGGAGGGGGATGGTGTCAGGCGGATATCAGAGCGCCAGGAATTTGCAAACTCCTGAGTGCAAATACAGGCACTCTCCCCATTGGTCAGGTCCTGGTTCTGCTTCCAACTCTCCCCTCCCAGAGGCCAGAGGCTCCTACCCTCCAGAGAGCTGCCCCACCCAAGCCCACTCCGAGCCCCAACCACACTCCCCCCGCACACTTCATTCCGATCTTGATCCTCACCCCCACTACATGTATGTTTAGACAATGCTCCCTGAAATTCACAAGCTGGTCTGTCTCCATTAAGATCACCCACAGTTTGAGACACCCCCCCAGTACAGTCTCTCTGAGAGTATATGCCTACCTGTTCGTCCTCCCCCAGTGATCACTCACTCAGAGTCCCCCCCATCATATTCTGAGTCCTTTCCTTGTGATCAAAATTAACCCCCCAAGGTACATTCCCCTGATTCCTACACCCCACTCAGAATTACAGTCTCTCAGAACCTGTCCCTTGGAGATCACCCATACCCTGACTTCCCCAAAGTCCCCCAGATGACGAGCTCTGAGCTGCAACCTCCCAGGCCTCCTGAGACAAAGCTGCCCCACCCTGCTGTGGCCATACAAAGGTGACAGTAGGCTCCTGGGAACAGCTGTTGGGAGGGGTCCTGCAGTTGGACTGTAAAAGGCACCTTCAGGCCCCAAGTTCAAGCCTCACCTCCACCTGGGGGCTGACCCCCTACACAAGGATTCTCATCACCCATCCCCCGCACCAGGGCAACCCTAAACGCTGCAACCCAAAAAACATGCATTCAACCCAGACTAAGTGACATGCTTTAACTGAGTCATTATGAGGATCTGAGTAACTCACTCGCCCAGGGGACTTTTACCACCTGCACTCAGAGACCAAATGGAATCCCTCCCTCCTTGTGGCATCTCGAAGGAGGGTGTCAGAGGCTGAATCCTCCTGTGCCTAATAGTCCAGTCCCAGCATGGGGATGAATGAATGGATTTCTGGGGTGGGCGTCCATGTGCAACGTTTTGATAATAGAGGAAGGAGCCCCTCCTCTCCACACACAGCCCCTCCAGCCCACTCTTCATCCAGCTCAACAATTCCACCCACGTTTTTGGTTGCCTTGGAGACTCCTGCCCCCACCAGACACTGCAGGGCCCCGCAGCATCCTTACCCCAGTTCCTGTCCCCAAAGACCTCACTCCTCAGAATTGCCCCCATGGTTCCTTCCTGTCCTTACATGAGAGCAGCCACCCAGTCTCAGGACAGAAGCCCTATGCCTTTTGACAGCATGTTAGGGAGATGAGCCAGTTACTCTCAGTTTTCCCCATGAAATCTCAGCCCTCCCCTCTGCATATGACCCCCTGGGTCACCGGTGGCTAAATGAAGGCTTGTCCTCAGCCTCTGAAACCAGTCCCCAATAAACTGTCTTCTAGCTACCTATTTAACCAGTAACAGGGGCAGGAAACCCCACCTACACAGCCCTAACCCACCAGGAACAGCCTGAGCCACTAGGAAGGCCAGTGTGAGGCTGTTTAAACCAGTGAAGTCAGACCTGCAAGTGGGTTCTGGGACTCTTAGGGGGAGGAAGACTCAAGGCCCTGAAAGCAGGGTGTGGCTGGCCCTTCACAAAGGTTGTAGCCACCAGGGCTGGTCTGACATGAGTCACTCTTTGGCCCTGAGGAGGAGGCCTGCTCCTGGTGGGGGAAGGGGGAGATTGGCCAGATAGTTGCTACGCACCCCAAGCCCAGCTGGAAATCTCTGATTTCCTGGCCTGATAGGAGGGTTTGGGAAGGGACTTTGTATTAGGAAATAAAGAATAGGACCAACAGTTCTCCCCCTAAAGATTAAGGGATTGTGAGCTCCCTGAACTTCAGAGGAGCCTACCGTCCCAGCCCCTACCCCAGAGCCTAATCATAAAAACAGTTGACTGCAGAGGAGTACAGTTTACAAAGCCTTTTCAGACCTCACTGGATCCTCATAGCAGCCCAGTGGAAATGGTATTCTTATCCCCATTTTACAGATAAGGAAACTGAGGCTTTGAGAGAGACAGTGACTTGCTGGAGGTTCACAGCCAAAAGGGTCAGATTCTGGCTCCCAGCCTCTTAACTCTTAGCCACGAGGGCCTGGGTTCCTGAGTGTAACAGAGGCTGTGATCTCTCTTCCAAGGACGTCCCAGCTCCAAAACAACTCCTTCGGGTCTCTTTCCCCCAAATCCTAGGCTAACTCCAAAGGCAGTCAGCCCAGGCTGAAGTGCTGGCTGGGATCTAGAGGATCTCCTGCTCCCACTCGCTGGCCAAGACAGCGTCTAGCACCTTCCACCATGAGCTGTGTGGCTTTTAAACATTCTCTGGCACATCAAGAACTCAAGAGAACAGTTTGTAAAAGGCTGCCCTCCCCAGCGATGGAGCTGAGACACAAGCCACTGTTCCCATTCACTAAACAGACTATCTGCAAGCAACATCCTTGATCAGCTTCTAATTGGTAAGGGCAGACTGAAGGAAGGAGCTGCCTTCCTAAGCCCTGGTCTCCAGGATGGGGGCCTGCGGTCTGCAGGGGAGGGGCACACGGGCTCAGGAGTGATGAGAAGGGAATGTTTGAGCATGAAGGGATTCCAGAGAGGAAACAGCTTATTTCTGCAGAGCCCAGGACCGGGAAAGGGGGTCCATTGTCAGCTAGGATCAGAAACACTGCTGTCCGCACTTACTTTTGGAGATGCGCAATGCGCCGTACCAAAGGCTCCGAAAACCTCAGTCCTTCGTTTATAAAACAGGGATGATGATGATGATGATGATGACGATAGTAATAATAACAACCTAGTTTATGGAATTGTTTCAATGGTTAGATAAATGCTAATTAGACAGATAGTAAATACTATTTAATGATAATATTACAGGGGAAGGATATAGCTCAGTGGTCGAGTGTGTACTTAGCATGCATGGGGTCCTGGACTCAATTCCCAGTACTTCCATTAAATAAATAAATAAACAAATAAATAAATCTAATTACTTCTCCCTCCAAAAATTTTTTTAAAACAATAATATTACATAATAATACTTATTATTATATCATTATATAATGTACTGTATTATCATTATATATCTATTATATCATTAGGTATTATTACTTAACTTTGCTTAATCAGCATTTCCCAAATATACTGGACCATGGAATCTTTTGTCAGGTAAGGCCTATTAACAATCCATATATCACAGGAAAATCCGATCCAGTCCAAGGAAGCTCAAGGAGGTTAAGTGACTCATCTGAAATCACATGGCTAACTTGTGCCCAGGTTCTGAGGCCAATCATTCTCTCTGTACCTCCCCCTGGACGTATCCTAGAAGCTTCTTACATTAGAGCAAGTGCAGATTGCAGTTCCCAGAGAGGAGAGATTAAAGGTGGGAGAGTTCTCATCATCCCTGCAGAAATGAAATAGTGGTTGGGGACCACTGGAAACAAGTGAGACACCTAGTACTTGGGAAGGACAAAATGACGTAATGATGATGACAATCATGGTGACAATAATAGTGATGGATGACGAAGATGATAATGGTGACAGCCAGCATCTACTATATCAGCCACTATGTTAAACACCTTGTATACATTATCAACTAATCCTGTGACTTAAAGTATTATCATCCCCATCGTACAGATGAAAAAACTGAGGCTCAAAAAGGTTATTAACTTGACCAATGTCACACAAGGAAGTAGTGGACCCAGGATTCAAGCCCAGATTTTTAACTCTCTAAAGCTACAGTCCCAACTACTAACTTTGTTCCTCTAATGGGTTGAGAGTCAAGGTGACTTCTTCCACTGGCCTAGAAAAAAGATCGAGTTGGGAAAGTCATAGTATCACCTGCCAAGGTCCTAATTTGTTCTCTGTGCTTGGATGCACAGTTATTTATCTGGTCAGTTAGTGGGTCATACAGGCAAGACTCAGAGTTCAGCCTCAAAAATGGACTCGTGTACACAAACAGAGCAGAAGTCACAAGCTGGAGAAGAGACAGGTAAAAGGGTGCAAGACTTCATGATCTTGCTTGTTGCATAAATTGGTAACCCTGTATGACCCAGGAATCCCGCTCCTGGGCATAAATCCAGAAGGAACCCTACTTCAGGATGACACCTGCACCCCAGTGTTCATAGCAGCACTATTTACAATAGCCAAGACATGGAGACAGTCTAAATGTCCATCAATGGATGACTGGATAAAGAAGATGTGGTACATTTATACAGTGGGATACTACTCAGCCACAAAAACCGACAACATATCACCATTTGCAGCAACATGGATGCTCTAAGTGAAGTAAGCCAGAAAGAGAAAGAAAAATACCACATGAGATCGCTCATATGTGGAATCTAAACAAAAACACAAAACAATGCATAAATACAAAACAGAAATAGATTCATAGACATAGAATACAAAGTTGTGGTTACCAAGGGGGT